ATACTAATAAAATATGAAGTTACAGAAGCCCCACTAAATTTGAAATACATCCTTAAAATAAATGGTAAATAGTTAAAAACTTAATTCACAAATCAGCAAAAGCATTTAAAAAAGAAACTATATCTAAATCTAAAGACTAGTAGTTAAATCATTAGTACAAATAAATTATAAAAAGATGTGTAGTTTTAGGATAAGAAATGAAATACAAATTCTATCATCTGAGTACAAAGTAGAATTAATTTATAAAAAAAAATATAGTAATTATTAAAATATTGAGACAAGAAAAAAAAGTAGCTTAAAAATAACTGATCCAAAATGTAGAAGAAATTCAAGATGATTCTTCTAAATGAGCAAATTAATAAATAAAGGATTAAATCTCAGACCCATAAAATTAGAATGATTAAGATATAACCATGATATTATTGAGATAAGTGAATAATAAGTAGTAAAATCTCTTCTTGAAAAACTACTCTATGAAAATATAATCAAAATCTTAAAAATAACAAACTACCAAATTCAGAAACAAATTTGTTTGAGTATTCGTACCACGAACAGAAAACAAATCTGTCCGTGTACAAATCGAGCAGTAAACATCGAGGTATAAATTTGGATCATAGAAGATGTTGCAATGGCCTATATGGAATATAGTTACTAAATATCGATTAAAATAAGTGGTTAGATGCGGTGATATTGAATTGAGTCCATGCTACTTTTATGTATTTGAATTGAGTCCAGCTTATTATCTTAATATCTTTGAATTGAGTCCATATAGATAAAATGTCTTAACTATACCTATATAGCTGGTGACACACAATTAGTTAATACTTACTTAATTATTAAATTATTACGAGTAAAAAATAGAGTGTATGTTGGATTGCCAAATTATTATTTTCAATACCTATATCATGATAACATTTTCAACAAATTTTAACTCGTTTTGAAATATTAATAGATATGACAAATTTTCAATTTTTTTTAGTATTTTTCTATAACTGTCGATAAAAAATTATTCTCTAGGTAAAAAGTACATTTATTTATTATTATTTTTATATTTTTTAATTAATTGTCTTTTTATAGTTATTATTAAAATTAAAGAAAGGGATTTAATTTTAATAATCTAACAATATTGATTGGACCCTAATTCAATGCTATCCGTTAGGACAGGTTTGGCAGTAGCAAATATAAAGTTACAAAAAAGAAATAAAAAAATGGACAAGCAGGTGGCTGCTTCATTGTATAGTGATGTTGAATGTACTCGATAATAGATGTGTTAAATTTGAATTCAATTACGAATCTGAGTGAGGACGATTTGTTAGCTAATATTATTAAGTTTATTTTATTATATAATAATAGTAATTTATCCTATTGTAATTAGTAGTACGGTAGGTTGAATTACTTTTTTTTAGAAAACATCGTATTTTATTATATTATTATAATTATTAACTTATGAGTCAAAAATATCTAAAACTGTTTTTAAATTAGTAGTATTTTTTTTTAGAAAAATTATAGAAGTTGAAAATTTATAAATTTTTATTACATAAACAAGTGATAATGAACACAAAGAAAAAATAATTATTGTAAAATCAATACATTCATTTTTCTGCTCAGAATTAACTCATAGTTAACATAACATAAAAATAAAATTAGCAATATAATAGTCAGTGGTGCTAAATATTCGAATATTTAAATTTAAAAATTTTTATTTTTGATATTTCAAAAACGTATGTGAGAATTTTTAAACCACAACCTGTCCGAATCAATAGCCGCAATACTTAATAACTAACTCTTAATTATTAATCATCAACATCATAAAATTCAACACCATCTTCAGCCTACAATCAAAAATTTAACAATACAATTAAAATATACTATAAGTAAGCCCGTGTATACCCAATTCTCAATACTGCCGTGGGTCTTTTCTTAACCAAACTTTACTTTTTGATAAACGTTCTGATGTTTTTTAAATACTTAAAAAATATTTATTTTTTTTCGTATTTTTATGGACACGTGCTAGTTGCAGACAAATTATTCAGGTCAATATTATAACATAACAATTGTGGACACAAGTTTGGTTGTCATAATACTAATTGCTTGCAGAATTTTTTTTTTAATAAAAAATACGTGAGTTGCTCTTCACCACTTTTTCAGGACTCAGCCAAAATTTTTTTCTGAAACAGCCTGTATAAATAAATGATTTCACCACTTGAATATTGTAACAATTGTTTGCTGATAAATGCTTCCTTTTTGATATTTTTATTTTTTTGATTCTTTTAAATTTTGTACAGCAGTAGATGCAATTAATTTTATATAGCTACTACTTTGTACTTCATCTAAGGCGTAGATCAATTGGTATATAATAGGGTGAATGCGATAAAATATTCCACTAAGGTTAGTATGAAAACTTTCATAAGCATTTGCGGTTCGTGAAATAGAAGAAGAAAATTAAGTTTTTCACTACACATTTTTATACAGAAAATAGACGATCAGATAGACGACAAATATTAAGCAAGCATGAGTAAGGTTGTGGATAAACTGATCAAACATATTTTTTTACAGCTGTTTCAATATTGTCAATATCAAACAGTTATTTCCTTGCATCCACGATCGTTGTATCAAGAATAATAATTAGATATTTGTCCGAAATTCGTATGTTACCTTTTTTAGATTTCGTCCACAACTCGTATGGTTTTTGTCACATTATCCGCAATTCGGAAACACCAATTTTTATTCTGGAATACTAAATATCTTTTTCGTTTTATTATTGTATTCCAAAGACCAATACTTTCGTATTTTACTGTTTTAAAATTAGTTTTCTACATACTATTTTATAATAGTTTTAAAAAATTATAATAAGGTTTCTTCAAATAAAAAGATAACAGTAAAGCTAACCATGGTCGGCCACGAATTTGAAATTTTTGAACTTGTTGAAGTATGTATGTATGTATGTTAATTCTTTAAATAAGCTTAACTTTAAGAATCTATGATTAGTGTACAAACATTTCAATATCAAATTTATTGATATAAATAAAATATTGGTTTAAAAAGTATATACATTTGTATATTTAAGATACTTTTAAAAGAAATTGTTCAAATGCGAATATCAAATACAAATGGCATAAAGTCTAAAGTACTAATTCCTAATACATTTAAAAAGTATTTTTAAAGAAGTCTGATAATATAAAAATGCGTTTATTTATTTATATTATGGCTAGACATTTCTTAATTTAAAGGACTTAATACATAATAATTATTTTAAAATATTGCGCGTTGTACAAATTCATTGTGATCATAATTTTTTGTAACCACAAAAATTCTGTAGTCATCTATCAATAATTTTATTATTTAAAACCTCAAAAAGCAACCAAAATCCAATGAATATTAAAACATTTACAATTATTTATATAGGTAAAATACACATGGACATAGTATATACTATATATGTTATAAAAACAATCAATTTATTTGTATATTACAATGACTTGTTATATCAATTATATATAATTATTACATAATGATATGATAAGTGATAAAACTAATTAAATTGCTTTGATTTATTTGAATTTAATTATTATGTTTACATTTGTTATACGCTGATTATAAAAACCAACTTTTAGAAATGTAAATTTAAATTTATAACCGTTCTAATAATAATTTTTTTTAATTTATTCATTTCGAAACGATAAAAATGTTCGAGTAATACACCTTAAAAAAACCTTAACAAGTCTTATAATTTTTTATTTACTGTAATGCATAAATAAAAAATGTTAGTGACTCACCGTGGTGTTTTTTTTGATAGATTTTTAATCATTAAAACTTGTAAAAATATGAATTATGTTTGAATTTTTTTTATTGAACAATAAATATATAATATAAATGGCGTACTAATCGTTTAACACCATGACGTATTAATTCCTAGTAAATAAACTGAATACCAATAATAATAAAATATAAATATACTATGCATTTTTTAAGCACTTAATCATTTATATTATTAATAATGTTATACGAAATAAATGTAATACACAGATAAGTATAATAACTAGTCATAATATTTTGCAGTAAAATTACTAGTTTTAAAAGCATTAATGATATAATATAAATAATTATATTTGAGCAATACATATAAACGTACTTTTCCTAACATATGAATCATACGATAAAATTACAGAAAAATAAAAGAAAAATGTAAGCTTTGAGTTTTGATTGAAAAATGAATTCAAAATATATATTTTATTAAATATTTTCATTAAAAACTAATCACCCTATCTTAAAATACAAAATTATTTATATTAAAAACGTTTGATTGATATCAACTGACATAGTATTGGACAATATTTTTACAGATTAACTATGCGTCCAAATTATTGAGAAATTAGACTAAAATATTTCCAACGCGATATTTTTAAAATAAAAATTGTCCAAATATGTTTATTGTTTAATTTTTTTTTTTTAATTAAATTTTTACTGTCTTAAAGACATTTTTAAATTATGAATTAAAACACCAAAATTAAGTTTCTAAAGTTATTTAATTAGAATCAGAAAAAATTAGAACTTATTTACGCCATGTATAGTATAATTTATTACCTCTATAACTTTAACCATGAAAAAAAAAGTTTTTCATAAAAACTAAAACCTGTATTAATACTTTTATAGTAAATATATATAAGTAAATAGAATGAAATTATAGTTTAGCCTTACCTATACATTTTTAAAATTGTACTAATTTGCATTGGTGGTATACTTATGATTTTATAGATCACTGTTGTCAGTCATAACAGTTTACCAAATAATTATCAATAGTATTATTGGTACGATAGTTATTGCACTACGATATATATGCTGTGCACCCATGTATATACATATATAGTATGTAATTATATAGCGATGCAACTTGTAAGACAGCGATACCTATTACTGCTTATCGAGTGCGCAAGCGTCGGAAGTTACCAACTATTTTTAAATAATATACCGCGATATTATGGTATATTTTAAGTTATGTCGTGTAAGTGACATTGGTACAACTATAGATGAAAATATTTGGAGGGTGCAAAAATTATATAGCTATGAGTTTTTTCTAAGTAGTAAGTATTTTATATATTTTAAGTATCAGTTTTTTAAAAGTGTAAAATTTTTTAAAAATTATATTAATTTAATTATGATATAAATTTAAAAAGCTATAGTAATTAATATTATTCTTAAAATATAATATATTAAATAGCGATGATCAAACATTTTTTAATTCAAAGCAGAGCAATGAAAGCATTGATTTTTTCAAAAATATATGTTTTTTTTTATTTTTGTGTGATTATCTTTTGTAGTAATAGAAATGCTTTGATTTTCAACTTAAAGGGTGGTTTATAATAGAAAATTAAATCTTGTTAGTACTTTAGGAAGAGGGGTCAAAAGTAAAAAATGCTCAGTATTTTTCAAAATAATCAAAAAAACAATAATTTAATTATTATTTTTTTTTTTATATGTCAATAAAAGCTGGGTCCAAAAGCATAAAAACCATGAACATTTAATACAAGATTCCTTAAAAGTTTTTACTATATCTATTTGAAAATTTTAAAGATACTTGGACATGATTTTTTTTTTTTTTTATAAGTATTAGAACTAACTTAACTTGACCTTTTAAAGCTTAAATTTAACAAAATACGTTAAAATCGTGAAAGTGTGCAAACAATTTTATAGTCAAATATTTAATTATTAATTATTAGGTATACCCAAGGACTGACAATTTAATACAATGATCTTCATCATAGCAATTTTTTTGTTTATAGATATTTGAGTTCAAATTTAAATGAAGAATAACGATTTTATTAATTTTTTTACAATTTTAAGATATTATTCATGAATCGTGGGTACTCGAAATGTTTTATATATTTTTTGATTGATTTAAAATATCACAATTTAAAAGAAATTTACACAATTAAACAGTTTAACAATAATTTTAAAAAAAAGTGATGGTTTATCAACCTTCTGTATGCATAAGCCTGTGTTGGAGGTTGAGAGTTATAATAGTTAATAATATATAAAAGTGGATAAATTTAGATTTAGTAACACAATATATTTCCTAGAACAAAGATTAAACAGTAATTAAACGAGACACTTATAAATACATAAAACATATTACATAATATATTTTATATACACAATGATATTTTAAAATTCTAAAATATTAAAATAAATTACTTTTATAACAATATAAATATACTTTAAAATATTCTTAGTAATATAAAATAATAAATAATTTTTGTATGCAATTATATATCATTTAATTCAAAATTAACACATACTCATAGATTACTTTGTCTTATTCCTTAAAGACTATAGGTACATTCAACACCTACTGTACACAGAAAAGAGGTTACCTATTTCCTGGAAAATTTAAATTTTCTGGAACTAGCTAGCTTGATGTGCTAAACATTGATAAATGATAATCATGAACAAAACAGTAAACTAAGCAAAATATGTCCGTATAAACACAAATGATTTATGCCTATTTATACTATAAAATACATAAATTGCCAAATTCTATTTTTTCATAATTTATTGGTTAGTATTGTTGTAGTGATGGACTCGTGTCTGATTTAATATTTTCTATACATATTCTCATACTATTCATTTTTATAAATCTGGTTCTTATTATCCGCCACCTAAGTTTCAAAAGGGTGTACGGATAGACATACAACTCATTATACCCTATTATAAACACGGATTATAATTTTATGTCATCCGCTTTACATTTGGACTATAATCTTCTTTAGAGTGGATTATGTAGGAATAGTATCACGAGTGTTGGAATGCAATACATGTCGTCACTAAGAATATTTTATATTTTATACCAGTGAAAATCCGTAACGAGTAGGTATTTCATTTTGGGTAATAAGTAAATAAATTTTCGCTTCCAACGTACGCTATATGATAACTACGAATGGAATTTGAACAACAAAATGACCATAATATTTTTTTTTAAATAAACAACCTAATACAACCTAATAGTATTAAAGAGCTTTTATATATTTAGAAATAGGAATTTTTTTATTCATTTTAATCATTTCACAAATCAAAATGTGTTATTGTTTTATCGATGAATTTATATTTTTAGGTTTAAGTAGTATTAAAAATAAAAGTTCATCGTATTTTTTGGTGTTTGACATTATTAATTACGGTGTTATATTATTTTGGCAGTAAGTTTAAATAAGACAAATATTTTATATTAATTATACATTCAAACTTTGGCAACATTGATTTTTAGGTTAAGGTTGGTTATATATATATTACGTGTAGTGTAAATAAATAATCAAATAATTAAAAATAATGTAAGTAGACTATATTTCATTATATTTTGCTTTTATCGGTCATTGTGCTTTTTTTTAGTTATCGATGATTTAAGTTGGGAAGACATGTTTATTCTGCAGGATTACACCACAAAAAAAGGTAATAAGTAGCTCTTAAATTATAAAATGTTACTATTATCTCACTACTTCCATTCTATACGGTAATACCTACTTAAAAGGTCAATGTAATAGCAATTCATAATAGTTAATTTTATTTTGTCATCTATTTAATTTTTGTAACAATAAAAATATCATCAATCATATTTCAACTTAATCATCAACTGGACGTTAATATAAACGCTAAGCTGTATCCCTAAAATAACATTTAAAAGTTTATCTAAACTATAGGTACCTTATAAGTAATAGTAATAATAACTATAATAAATTATTAGTTATTTCTATAAACTAACTGAGTATTAGTATTTACTTTTGAGTTATAAAATGCCATGATTATTATATATTTAGCATGAAGTTATTTTGAAAATTAAAAATTAAACAGGTTTTTTTTATAGAACTAAAGAGTCTATTATTTCTTGGAATTTTATTTTCTAAAAATATATAAGTTTTTTTAAACCTATTCTTAGAATTTGTATGAAATGCAAATTTTTAAAGACATTAAATTTTTAATTTTTTTTAATGGGTACTTAAATTAACGAGTATATAAAACATTCTATACTAACATAATAGTTATACCGAGTGGATACAAGAGTGTAGAATTTAAAATATATAACGCATCCGGTCTTCACGATCTTTCGGCAATTTAGATTTTTTCATCAAGATTTTTATCAGATATTTTACAATAGTCAATATTGTATACTAGATAAATTAAATACCTATATAAATATTATGCATAGTTAAACTTACATACTCAGTAGAAATGAGTATAAGATTAATTTTTTATTCTCTAATTCATTACATAATAATATGAATTATAATATAATTTGGTGTTTTAGTCAATATCTAAGGTGTTACATTGGTTACAATATTATTTCTTTCTTCACATATAGACATACATATCTAATATATTTATACACGTGAAAACGAGAAAACTATATATCCCATCTCTTATTCCTTGTTTTCTTATATAAATAATAAATAATAATATGACATGTTCAGGAAATTTATTTTTCCAAGAACATCAACCTTATTATAATTTATAAACGAAATAATATTATACTAAATTACTTTTACTTTAAAGTTTATAGTAGAATTGTAGTATTAGCAAGAACAGTTGGTGTTAGGAGGAACAAAATTGGTGTGTTCTTTGTTGGATAGAATATAAATATACTATAATTACACAATTTTTATTATCAATAATTCACGTTTTTAAATAGTTACGTAATTGTAAATAAAAATAACAACAAAAATCTAAAAATTTTGGAACGTAAATTAAGGTTTCACGTTTATAAATTAAAAACATCTTATATGGGATCGCAAACTCGATTGGTACGAACTAGAGTAAAAATAAAATTTACTCACTATAATAACACAGAAACCTGTATCAAAATTAATATATCAGAGCTTATAGTTGTTGTAAAATGTTAACTGCCCAGGGAGCGACTGCGTACCCAGACACCCGCAGACTACCCTGACTCAAACCTAATTGCATTATAAAAACTTAAACGTCATGTACACTATATTATAATAGTTTAATTATTGTATAACATAATTTAATAATACATTTTTATGTCATACACAAATGTAGTGCATAGAAAATCTAATTTGAACCTAAAGATTGTGAGTAAGATTTTATAGTGTATCAAAAAATCTTTATCGTTCAATATAATGTACAATTATTTTATTGGAAACGCAGAGGTTAGAGGCCAGAGCTATCATGATTATATTATAAAATACGTAATATTGAAAACTAATATAAATACACCCTTCTCATCGTATGCTATTTTTTGAAACATTCAATTGTTTGAACAGCCTTCAAAGCAAATATAATAGTTTCCGTTCTATAAAGTCAAACATTTATGGGAGAGGCATATGGGACACCTGACAAATAAACTGTAGGCAGTCGTTATTAAATATTTACTAAGCTACTGCAGTGTGTTTTATAGTACATACATTTTTTTAATAACATCACAATTTTAAAAACGAAAAGGAATAAAAAAAAAAAAATAGTAAAATTTCCAAATAAATATTATAGAAAATATTAAAAATGAATTTTAAAACTTATTAAATTGTTAATTAAGTGTATTCATTAGAGTATTTATTGTGTATAAAATAATTGAATCAAAATTGTGTATTTTATTTTTAGGTTTTGGTTCAGACTACTGGAGCAAATAAACCGGATATTTTATAAAATATAAAGTACAATCAATCATAAGTAAAATATTGAGTTACTATAATCTATTATAATAGGTAATTTATTTTGTACCATAATAAATTGTAAAATATCTTCCATGGCTCAAATTATCGAATGTAAGTTATACACTTTTATAATAAATTTTTTAAATGAGTAGTTTAATTTTATTTTTTCAATTAAATTTAGGCATACTAAACTTTTTTTTAAGCCAATTTTAAAAGTAGCGTTGATCTAATAACCTAACCTCTGAACGATGGAATGACCAATTGGTGCAATAGTACATACAATACAACTTTACTGTAGTGGTAGAAATGTTTCATATTATATATGTGCAACTATAATTTGACTATTTATTAGAATAATTAAACTTAATAATCGCGTGATAAATCTTTTACCATTATTTGAGCTTATATTTTTTGTACGATAAAATTATTTGTTAAAAATATTCCCATACAATATATATAAAAAAAAAAATAATAATAGTTTTTATTGTTGATATACATTTAAAACACCAATAAAATTCTATTATATTTAATTATGTGGACCAAACATTTACTTTAATAATAGAGAAAAAAACATACTCCAACATCCATAGTTTTTTTCAAATTACTAATGAAATCCCTGTCTTAAATATTAAGTTGAACGCACACTTAAAGTTTACATTTGTCTTTATAATATAGTCTATTTCAATAAGTATTACAATATTGAATGATAAATAGTATCCATAAAATATAATATACAAGAATCTAGGTATCATAAATGAATTATATAATTTCAGTTATACACCTCGAAGTTAAGAGTAGCCTCTATGAAGCTATCAACCATTCCTAGATTGGAGTTATGTGGGGCAATGTAGCAGTAGAGCTTTCCAAAATTACTGTAATGGAACTTCAGAGATTGAATGTGATTATACCACCCAACAATATGTGTATCTATGGTCAGATTCTTAAATAGTGGTTAGGATACAGAGCAAATTTCTTTTTTAAGCTTGCGTTTCTAACAAGCTTACTTGAATCCTAGACGTTTATACTCTTAACCAATCATATCATGTACCTACGAATGACAGCTCTATTGGTTTATGTCTCCGGAAATTGAAGCTGCAGAAATATCACTATCCATATTGTGGTGGCATAGGCCGCCATGGTTAATGATTGGTACAATTTAGCTATATTCAAACACAATATTATCGAGTCTTTTTTGGTTAAATCTCAAAGGGACATGGTTTTTACTGATAGTGTGGTTCACTTTTTTCCTTATACATAAATTAAGAAAAATTGGATTATGTGACTCATTACTAATATGGCTTACCTCTTCTATAACTAAAAGAATCCAGCTAGTAAAATTAAATCATTTTTTTATTAGAACCCATCCATGTTTTTTAGGTGTTCCTCAAGGCGGTCATCTTTCACCAACATTATTTTTATTATTTATAAATTATAAATTATATTCATAAGATTATAAAGCACTGAAGTATTTTATTGTTTGCAGATGACGCTAGAATATTTAAAAAAAAAATTGATTCTATTCATGATTGTGTTAAATTAAGACTATAATAGAGTATTATCATATTTAAATATGTAATCGTTAAATATAGGAGAAGTTACATTCATTATTCATTTTTGTTAAAACTATTAAATAACTATATATATTGCCTTTATTTATTGGAACGAATCCATTTTAAAATTAATAACAAATCTACCAGAAATCAAAAAATGTCTTGATTAACAATGTTTCTAAGACATCATTAAAATCATTACCTGCAAAAATACTGATGGCTACAGAAAATACTATGATTATTAATTTTATTTGATAGTTAATTATAGCTGTAAAATTATTTACCATATATGTATTTCGTTATATTTATTGAATGTGAATTTAAATATTTTTCGTACATGCTATAATTTTCATTGTATTTATTATTTACTACATAATTTAAATGTATATCTTTTAAATGGAGTTTCTTTGTCAATATTTAATAAAAATATAAGAATAATAATGTTAAAGCATTATTACAGTTCTGAAAGGTTTGGACGGATAATAATATTGATACTTTTATCGTTCCACTCAGAATCTAAAATAGTATTATGATATTATTTCATTTTGATATATATATATAAATACATTTATCTCGTTTAGAATTATTAAGATCTGCAAGTATAAAAATTATAATTCCTTGAAAAACGATAAAATACAATGAATTTCAAATCGCATGCTATAGAGTCTACGAATGAATTTATACTGATGTTGGTGAAAGTATAATGTATTTTTAAAAATAGAAAAAACTGAAAGGAAAATAAAATTTTATCACCAAATATAGACAATCGGCAGTAAAAAGTTTTAATTATTGTCGAACAGGTAGATATTGCGTTTTAAATTATATAAATAAACTATGCATAAAAATAAACAAATAAAATTTGCAAGTATACTTAATGCATTAACCGAGTTGGTATAAAAAAAAATTCATGTTTAATATTTATATTATACCGCTACAGACTATAAATAAATGTATGTATAGAATACCTTACCCTATTACTTTGCCGTTTTACCCGTCTGCCGTGACTTTCGTTGCCGTAATAATTAACAATCACATTGTTATTTTTATATTTTTATAAAAATAAATATCGCTTAACTAAATAATATCTTGTTACCTACTTTACTCTTTGTATTGTATACACCACGTCCTTTGAGCGTTTTAACACCACTACCATACCCTTTTATTGTTTTTATACTTTTATTGTCATTACGGCGATAACAATAGGCGATAGTTGTACGAGTATAATATTATAACTAAATAATAAAAAAATCATTATGTATTGTGTATTTAAAAATAAAATTTTGATTTCAACCATTAAAGTCATTAAAATAAGATTACTATTATGTAATTTATTAAATTTTTCGTAGAAATCGTTGAAAATCTAATATGCGCAATAATATTTTTAATTATTATTATAACTAGGACCAATGTGTATACTTTAAGCCATTATTTTTAAATTTATAATGTAACGAAAATATAAATTCAATCTTTAAAAATCTATTAAATTAAAAATTAATTTTATTTTTCGACAAAGTTTTTTTTTCAAGAAAGTTAAATGGTATAAAACTCTTGAAACCATTAGATATCTTAGTATTATTATATTTGTATTAAAATAAAGTCATAATTTATTTCGGCTTAGTATTGTTTTATATTTTGGTTTTATTTTTTTATATTTTAATACTTCTTTATTTTAACTTTAACCTAATAACCTCATTAATATGCGTTCATTCAATGTAAATTCAATGATGTAAAATCCAAAATTATTGAAAGTATGTTAATACAATTTGACATATAATGTTTAATATTTATAATGTTTAATAATATTTATAATATCATAATGTTATAATGTTATAATACTTATAATATTTATAATATTTATAATGTTTAATATTCTATATACTTTTTAAGATAACTCAATAATATAATATTAAAAATATAATATTCATAATTTATCGGTACAAATAATTTTAGAGTAGGAAAAACTATCCATTTGGTTTATGTAATTTCTTTGAAAACTTGTTTTTTTTTTTATTTCTTGAACTAGATACAATGGTCTAAAATGGTATAAGATACAATAGTCTTCAGAATAGCAATCCCTTTAAAATTTAAATTAAAAATGCGTGTTAAAATAAAATAAAAGTAGGAAGTTGATAAATGATATAAAAATAGTTATTTCTAACTAGATATTATGAAAATAAAATATTTTATAATTAAGTTTCCAAGAATTTTATATTAAAATAATTTTCATGAGTCAACAAACATTATAAAACACTTAATTAAATTTAAATCCTTATTTGTTTATGTATAACAGTGTTTCTAAAAATGGGCGATATCCAGGGAGGCAATGGAAGATTAGGTTAGATTATGTAAGAGTTAGAGTATGCAAGTTACAAGCTCAATTTATAAATAATAAATTAATTTTTCATTGCTCATACTTTTTTCATTAAGGAAGAGAAGGCATCTATTCGATTTGAAATTTTTGGGAACCACTGACCTAAAATGAATATCATATAATATCAAAACAGCTGATAAAATGAACGAAAATAATAATTTACATATATCATATTATATTTTGTGATGTCTGCAAAGTTACTCCCTACTACTTTATAGGATTACTTAAAAAAATGTACCAATATTTAAAAGGTGATTACAAATAAATGTAATTTGACTTTTATTACTTGTAAATAAATCACTAAAATATTACAAGTTAAAAACCATTACAGAAGGCCAATTTTATGTAGTCTTACTTTGTCCAACTGATTTGATAAATATACTATTATTTTACATAATAATTTTAAATTGATCTTTAGAATTATCAAATTAAAATTTTTTAGCAAATTTCAGAATTTTTTTCTGTCCTTAAATTGTATATGATCAATTCAAAATATTTTTCATATTTTGCAAATTAGTTCTAAATAATTATAAATTAATATATATTTTTTTTATTTTGAAAATTATATCATGAAAAAAATAATAATTATAAATGATAATTCTAAATTCTAAAAATTGATTTACAATTAATTTGCAAACCATTGGTACGCTTTTTGAAATGATCGGACAAAATTAGGGGGTTGACTTCACAGACATTATTTTGTATTTAAGAAACATTATAATGCATAAAGAATTTAACTATCATTAACTATTGATAAAGAACTTATGCAATAATTACCGATTTTATTCAATGTATTTTAAATTACAATTAAAGGACTAATTATAGTAGGTACACACAAAGTGATAAACATTGTTTTTAAATTACTCATCAAGTCAAAGTACAACAGTGTGATTACAATAGTTTAATATTAGTTATGTTTTTAAAGAATTAGTTACGAGTTAAAAATAAAAATGGATACATTCTATGTGTTTTGAGTTGAAAACGTTTGTTTGATAAAATATAATATATTATTTTATACAGAAATGTAGTAATAGTACCTAAATGCAATTTACAACGTTATCTACTCGTAGTAATATGTGTGGAATTTTTAAGTCCAGTGAAAACTAGGTTATTATATTGT